AAACTCCACCATGACCAGGGCCGGGAGTTCGAAAACAGCCTGTTCCAAAGACTCCAACAACTTGCAGGAATAGCTCATTCTCGAACAACCCCCTACCACCCTCAGGGGAATCCTGTTGAACGTCTAAACAGAACACTCTTACAAATGTTACGCACTCTACATGAAGAAAAGAAATCAGAGTGGAAAGACCATCTACCACACATTCTTCACGCGTACAATTGTACGAGACATGAAGCAACTGGTTACTCACCATTTTTTTTGCTTTATGGGAGAGCACCTAGACTGCCAGTAGATTTACTCTTCGACATAAAACCTGACAGTGAGTGTAAAACAAGACAAGAGTATGCAGAAAAATGGGCATCTCGTATGCAAGAGGCATACAAAATCGCTTCTGAAAACAGCCACAAAAGCTCAGCAAAAGGAAAAAAGCATTACGACCAACATACAAAAGGCATCCCTTTGCAACCAGGAGACCGAGTATTAGTAAGAAATCTTTCCGAACGTGGAGGTCCCGGTAAACTAAGAGCTTATTGGGAAAAGTGTATTCATCGAGTTGTTGAAAAGATAGGAGAGGGACCTGTATATCGTGTTCAGGCGGAAACAGGAGACCGCAGTCTTCGAGTCCTACACAGAAATCTCCTATTACAAGTCAATGATTTACCGCTAGAACAAGGACAAAGTCAAAATGTGAACCGGAAAAGACAAAATCACAAAAAAGGACAAGGGAAAACTCAGGAAGCTGCTATGCAAGAGTCAGAACAGTCTGATGAAGAGAAGGAATACACATATCACTGGCAACGTGTACCTGTGTATAATCTGAGACCAAAACCTCAAACACAGCCTGAACTCAGAGCCGCAGCCCCTGAATTCCAACCTGTAAGAAACAGTATTCAACCATCTAACACACATGAACAACGTACACAACCCCATGTTGAAATAGAACATCCAAGAGTACCAATCCCAGCTGTTGTTCAAGATTCAGCACCACGGACACGGCCTACTGTCACAACACCAGCTGAGGAGATACCCGTACCGGACACAAGTGATGCTATGGGCAATATGAGTGAAACTGTTCCTGTTGAGGATAATGAAATGAACAACACTGTACCAGATGCTCAAGGTTGTGACACTAATGTGCAAGAAGAGAACGTTGCAACAGTACGAAGATCAGTGAGAACTGTCAAACCCCGAGAAGTGTTCACTTACAATCAGTTTGGACAGCCTTCTTATCAACCTTGGCATGCAGGAGCGAACATGATGTTTGCCTGTACTCCTTATCCCATGACCTTTTACCCGACACAACCTGACATGTACTATTACCCTATTCCAGTACGGACATGTTAAACTTGTGACGAGACTTAGTACTCTTTTGACATTATTACAGGACCATACATGCTGACACTGACTGTATGTTGACCTGACTATACACTTTAGTACAAGATGCCGGAGTCATCTCTTGAAGCAGGGGAGAGTGTAGTAGGTTGAAAAAAAACGCTATATTATAAGTTTTTATGAAAACAGACACCCCCTCAATTTTTTTGTATTGCAATACTAATGTGTACTCTATATAGTAAAGGTCCCTGTGTACATCCACACCAGCAGAGGGTGCAGTTGCGCCACTGTGGGCATAGAGGGCTCTCACGCAGGCGCTGCTCAGAAGTAAATGAGCTATGGTCTGTTAAAGTGTCTCCCTCATCTGTCCACAGGTATGTCGATAAAACATAAAATATGTGAACTTAAACGTGGTCCTGATAACATGTAGATGAGTGTGTGTTAGTGTGGAAACGCTGGTGAAACGGTTGCTGTTTCTAAAAAACTTAAGGACGAAGTATCAGTACGTTTTGTAGTGTGTGTGTGCCTCCGCCGTTTAGTGTGGTCGCTTTGCTGATTGCGGATGGTTTGGTGGTCTGAAACCGACGTATGGAGCCAGTGTGTGCTCTGTGGATAAGTTTCTGGCGTGCTCACATAAGTTGGAGCGTCTGTGTTCGGGTTATTGAGACTGCCATGTTGGGTGTGCGTTAGTGGTTCAGCCCGCCATTCAGAGGCGCTTTTCTTTTGATCTAGCTCCGCGCTTCTGTGTGTGTATGTGAGTGAGAGCGGAAGTGACGTGATGATAGTGTTTTTGGCACTAACAAGTAAAATAAGCATTTTGCTGCAATGATAGAATGATATTAAAGTGAGGAAAACGTGTTTAATGTTATTATATTATCTTTTTGATATATTTTATGATTGATGTGAATTATATTTTATTTAAAGTCTATATTTTATTATTTGTACTTTTTACATTTTGTTAATTGTGTGTATTGGTTTAATTTAATTACTATTATTTATTGTGTTATTATTTAAAGTCTATATTTTATTATTTGTACTTTTTTACATTTTGTTAATTATGTGTATTGATTTTAATTTAATTGCTATTATTTATTGTGTTGTTATTTTATGGATTATTGTCTATTGTATGGATGTGTTAATGTGATAATTGTGTTAAGTGTCAGAAGTAAATGAGCTATGGTCTGTTAACGTGTCTCCCTCATCTGTCCCTCAGAGTAGCTTTGCCTCGTCTGTTCCTGTTTGGCTGTGACGTCATCCAGGAAAGAAACATCAGCTGTGCTGCTTCCATCAACACCCTTGTTTGTAGATGTTGGAGATCGGCCTGTCTTCAGGTGTGGTCCTGTTTCTCTGGCCGTGGCTGGGTGGATGTGCTCTCTTCATCCTCTGGCATGGGAGCTGCCTTGGAGCTCGTCTGCCTGGCTGTGTGTTTCCTGGACGGGGCCGCGTTTTACAGCTGCTTGTATCTCTGCTTCTGTCTCCTTGAACCCCAGTCGGCCTTGGCAGATGGCCGCTCACACTGAGCCTGGTTCTGCTGGAGGTTTCTTCCTGTTAAAAGGGAGTTTTTCCTCTCCACTGTCGCTACAAGCATGCTTAGTGTGAGGGATTGTATTTGAGTCAATGAGTCAATGCAATCAACTGGTTTTCCTTAGATAGAAAACTTTGTATCAATTTGACTGTATGATCTGGTTGAACTGTAAAGTGCCTTGAGATGACGTGTTGTGAATTTGGCGCTATATAAATAAACTGAATTGAATTGAATCTGTCGACAGACCTACAGCCAGAGACTTTGTTTTAGGCAACACAGCCTACGCTAGCTGTGTGCCACTTGCTACCGCCCAGCTTACCCCTAGGGCTGGCGCCGGTAACACTATCATTATCTTAAAAAGGGGAATAGTCTCATAATAACACGTCAAATGTATAGGGTGGTTACTCACTTTGGTTTCTTACTGTTTTTTTTTAAACATTTTCTGCTCAGTTTGTTGCTATATAAAGCTCTTCTGTGTATATTTATCACAACAACACCACAAGACCATAGAAATAACACTGTGCATATTTGGTAAACAAACCAAAGCAATGCAGGCGAGTAAGTGTGGAACTCCCAGCTTAGTTGTGGAAATAATGAAGAAAAGTGCAAGATCCAGAGTGAAAAAGCGCAAAACAATATTACATTTCAAAAGGCATAAGACTCAAATAGAACTTAGAGTACAGTATAACTGTTGGTGTTAAAATCCCTGTTCCATTAATAAGGGCTGTCAGAGTAAAAACTCTGGCAAAGCTTTGAGTAACTTGACTTGATGTGGTGACCCCTCAATTAGAAGGCAGAGGAAGAAATCATCATCATACTGTGATTTTGTTGAGATCTTATATCAAAGAAGACTTAAAGAACTATATGTTGAGCTTATTTTCAGATAAATCAAAATTGTGAAGCCAACCAAAAACAAAAGGAAGCTAATGTCAATCGGAGGCAATATTGAGCCCTAGTCATTTTATTTTTGTGAAGCATGGCCATGATTGGGATAAAAATGGATCCAGATCAAAGCAGTAAGAGCAGATTAAGGTGAAAAATTATTATTACTTTTTTCAATAAATGTAAAAAGTATTTAGTTTTGCCAAATTAGGTATTTGGGGAAACACTATTAATTTCAGGAAAAAAAGAAAAAAAAAATGTGTTTAGGAAAATTTTTGTTTATGAAATTAATAATAGTGAAGTGAACAGTTCTTATCTTTTTTGTTTAAAGATTCTACAAGTCCCTCACGTTACTTCAGACAGTGGTCACATGACTTCACAATCTCTACAGACAAAATATTCCACTGAAATATAGAACACTGTATATTACTAGATCCTGTAAATGAAGTGATGTGAATTAAATCAAACAACTTTTGGTATCAGTACACTGAAATAAAAAAAAATAATAAAAGCTTACTACACATCCAGCAGTGTTTTCACTCTCATAACTTTACTATTCCTCTCTAGTTTGTATTATATAACTACTCCCCACTTAGTACAGGGTAAATCAGTTAAACCTCACATATGTTCACTCAATCACTGATCTTGCCAAGTAACATTTTACAGCCATTGCATTTTCAGAAATATGTAGAATTAATTATGTTTTTTCTGCAACCCTATTAAAAAATTAAATATGGGCTTAAGTCCAGTTAATCAGCAGTCAGAAAATCCTCTTATACCCCCAAGAGGTTGTAAGTAGATATTGACTCTAAGCCAATAATATTGCTGAAGCTAATTGATGCATCTGCCCATTAAAATCAAGAGCTGGGGTTTTTAATCTCAGAAGTTTGAAAACTGGGATTAAAGACATGTTTTACTATAGTTACCACATGCTTATATTACTTAAATGAGAGAATTCAAGAAGCCAAGTTGTTTACAGTTAAAAAGAAACAATGGTGATATAAGAAAATTGTTTTCAATAGCTGACTTGAGTGATGATAAGTGCCTATGTCTATCTGGGAAAAAAAAAAAAAACTTCAGTCTGGTGTCTATCCATCAATTACCTTCACTCGTACACGGGGTTATTGAGGGGCTTATGCCCATCTCCAGCAGTTAATAAATGAAAGATGGGGTAGACCCAACATCATTTGCCCTCAAGTGTGCCCCCATTCAGCACTCAGTCTACTGTCTTATATTCAAGTAAATAGTGTAGTTTACTCACCCTTTCTGCAGATTGTGATGTCCCAAAGAAGATGGGGATGAAGGCCAGCCAGATAATACATGTGGTATACATGGTAAACCCGATGGGCTTGGCCTCGTTGAAGGTTTCAGGTACGCCTCGTGTCTTAATGGCATAAACTGTGCACGTCACCATTAGCAGGATTGAGTAACCCAAAGAGCAGATGAGAGAGAGGTCTGAGATGTCACATTTCAGGACTCCACGGGCTGCCATGGGGTCTTGGGTCCGCTGCTCCCCATAGTCCACTACGGTGTGGGGAGGGTCTACAGCGAACCAGACGAAAACGCCAAGAAGCTGAACTGAGATTAGGGAGAAGGTAATGACTAGCTGCGAGGCAGGAGAGATGAACCTGCAGAGGAAGAAAAGTTCACATAAGTCCATGTTTTATTAAAAAACATGTTTATCCATCTGTCATGGGAATCCAATGGGTCTCCAGGCCAGAAGAGATTTATGGTCTTTCCAAAAATCGTGGGTCCCCACAGGGTTTCCTCCATGTGGAATGTGGAAAAAATACCTCCAACAGAATGTGTCAAGGATGCAATCATAAGATTCCCTAATCAACGCAACATCCTCCCTTACAGAGAAGCTCCTCAACCCGCAGCTAAGACTGACCCCAACCACCTTAAAAAGAAATGTGCCTTTCAACCATCTTATCAAGGATTTCATAGGAAAGAAGAAACGAGTCCAATCGTTCAAACTTGGCTGGAGATTCCTTATACATATATACATTATAGGATACTACATAAAGAATTATACAGAAGAAAATCATCTCTAAAACTCAAAGAAGTAGTTTAAATGGAGACTCTCCATTGACTCTCCCTCGTTCAAATGTAGAAACCATATGGACTAGACAGTTACTCCTCAACCCAACAGAGATCAAAAGATGGTTCACTTTTCTACAGCCAGGAAGGAAAGTACACTAATCCTCAAAAATGAAAGGCTCCGTCATGAACCAAACCCTCCTTTTACAGAAGTAAAGTTGCCAATGAACGCTGAGAAGTGAATTCTCCCAGCTGCTGCAACACACTAATGCCTTCATTAAGAGTAGGCTCACCACACATCTACTTTGGGGTTTTCCCAGTCCTCCATTTATATAAAGGGAATTCCTCCAAGACTGCCTGTTAATGTTTCGTAGCCCTAAGCATATGTCATCTACACTTGGCCTGCCGCTATCATCTCCTCTGCAACCAGTGCTACTGTGATGATGCCAAGTCTCCAGACATTTCCTCTTTCACAAAGCACATGGTGACCAGATTTATAAAGTACATCTTCCACTTCCTAAAAATACTTACTCTACAATCCAAGGAAATGGGGGACACGACATGTGATACTTTTTGAGTGCACTTTTAAAAAAAACTGTTCACTTAGTTTAACAAAAAAAGCATTTTCTAGAGCTTCTAAAACTTTGTGCATTTAGCTCTTTAGATTCATGTGTGCAAACTCAGTCAGTAAAGTTTTAGTTAGACATTATTAGACAAAAGATAAGCTATTCAAAAAGAACAAACTGAAAAATAGTGACGAATAGCTGCAAAAATACTATTAAATCATTGATCTATATGAGAATGAGATACAAATAAACATTTGAAAGCCCTTAAGATAGATGTTAAAAAAGGCGAAACTCATGATTGTGTGCCTAGCAGGTATGTGAAGCTTAAAATGACTAAATCCTGCAATAACATTTTATCCACTTACATGAAACCCCCTTAACACTACCTGTAAAGTGATGAGTATGCTGCTCATTATTAACTTTAAAACTCTACAGAAAAAGTAATGATGACAAACGATTTCAAATATACTAATGATGAGGGAGTAGTAGGTTAGAGGTATATGTGGCTGGCTACAGCTTTCTGCATTAATAAAACAGCTTAATTTAAAACTACATGACATAAATAATGAGGAGGCACACATGTTAATGTCTATTATGATGGATAGCGCTGTAAACTTTTTTCTTTTTTTTTTATTACCTGGGTGCTGTTACTGACTTTTTCCCTTGCTCAAAGATGCGGTGTATCCTGTTCGTCTTTGTGAGCAGTGCAGCATAGCTGAAACACATGCCCAAGCCCAGGAAAATCCTCCGCAGTGAACAAACACCCACATCCGGCGTTGCGATCATTAGGAATGTGATGGCATAGCACAGGAAGATTCCAGTGAGGAGTACGTAACTCATCTCTCGGCCGGATGCTCGGACGATGGGTGTATCGTTGTACCTCACAAAGGTAACTATGACAAAAGAGGTGGCGATAATCCCCAGCATGGAGATGAAGACTGGTACAACGGCCCAAGGGGAGTGCCACTCCAATTTGATGATAGGAATTGGAACACACCCTGTTCGGTTGGTATCTGGTCGCATCTCATAGGGACAAAGTTCGCATGTGAACTCCGAGGCCTAAGGAATGAGCAGAAACTAGTGTTAAACATATTCAGGGCAAAGTTTAAGTTCTGTTTTGCCTGTTGAGTACAAACTCAGTCTCTAACCATAAACATTTCCAGGAAATAAACAAAAATATTTATTTTATTTTAAAAAGTATTAATTATTTTTAACAATTCATTATTTATGCTGCTATGCATTAATCCATTGTATGGTCCAATGGCCACAGCCTCATAACAAAGTGCATACCACATACTTCAATTACAACACTGCACAGGGATGAAAAAATATATTTTTACAGATCGTTTATTCATTTAGGTCCAACAAACATATTATTTTATCATATAATAGGGAATAGAAAAATATAATTTGAGTAAATAAAAGACTAACTTCCAATCATTATTTTGTCTATAAAGGTAAAAGGCTATTAACAAACAAGCTGTGCGGAAAAAAATAATCACCTCACCTGTAAAATTAGAAATTATTGGCGTTTTTTTTAACAGCTGAGTCCCCAGCCATTTGCAAACATAAATCCTGCAAGATTTTGTGGCGCTAATAGATAAAAAATAGATATAATGTAGAATAGGTTCAAAGATCCCCTAAAAAGTCCACATCGTATCCTGATGCAAAAAAAATCAAGAACAAATGAGAAACAAGGCAATTCATGGTCAATCTTGAAAGGGTCACAAAGGCATTTCTGAGGCTTTGAAAGTCAGGGTGACATTGATTAGCATCATATAAAAAAAAGAGAATATATAAAAGATTGGTAAAGGAGGGGTTGACCAGTCGAAATGATTCATAAGCACAACCAAGAGATAAAGAATAAGAGAAAGACTGGGCAAAAGGTACATCTAATGATGAAACGAATGATGACCGAAATGAGCACCTTTGGCATGGCAGGCTCATAACTGCCAGACGTTATCTTGTCAATCCCTGAAAAAATATTCTGTGTACTGACAGGACAAAAATGAAAGAGAATTGTGTGTCTTGAATAAACCTTACAGCAGTTAAGAAAATCATCTTTAAAACCATAGTCAAACATGGATCATTTAATGTAAAAGTCTTTCATAACTTTGCCAATTCAGGACCTGCAGGACTCATCATAATTATTAGAACCAGCAAACCTTTTCTCAAGAATGAACATTTCAAAGATGAATTTCTTAACATTGGTGGTGGTAAGCTAGTAAGCTCCTGCACACACAAACACGGGGAAGTCCACCTCTGGATGGCTCAAATAACACGAACCAGAAATCTAGAGCTTTGTTAAGTAGAGTCAGTATAAAATGAGGCAACAGAGGTTGCATCCCATTCAATAGGTTTATGTTGTTTTTAACAACTATGGCAATAATAAAAATATTTAGTTGAAGCTTTTTTCATCATGATAAGTAGACAGAGATTAATAAAAAAATAATACGATGTGACTTATCGTTATCTAGATGAAGACTAGATAGAGAGACTAAATCATCTGTTCATTATCAGAAAAACAAAATTATTGACATTTCTGCCTATTTTACACCCTATCCATCAGTCAAAAGTTGGAGAATCAACAATGCTATGCTTATCTAGTCCTGCCCTTCCCTATCTGAGAGCGACCGCTACAGGCTTGATGGTTGAAGAAGATGGAGAGTCCATGGATATACTTAAAATAGGATCCATCCACAAGAAAATCAAATGTATTGCAAAGGCAGATGGTGTTTGATGTGAACATAAACAAGAAGGGAAAATGCAACACCTTTAGATTTGCTATGCTGATATTGCTGCATTGATAAGGTCCCGTTGTGACAAACAAAAAAAACAATCAACATTTTCATCCGAAAAGCCAAACTCTAAAACCTGAAAGGTTGCCAAGAGCAACACTTTAATTGTTTTTGAGGAGAACACATGTTCACACCAGTTTAACTGTGAGTCACAACAAATGGAAAAATACCTCCAAAATAACTCATTCTTAAGTTAAAAATGGACACACAATAAAACCATATCTTTAAACTAAACATAGTGGTAATGAATACATTTTTGGTTTTGTTGTTGTGATAAAAAACGAAAAAAATTGGAATATTTCATAACAAGAATTACAGCCATTCAAAAACAGCAGATGGTAGAAATGGGCATCATTCCCTATGGATAATCACTATTCCCTAAAAGTGTCCCAACATACTGCAACCATATCTGAATTAATGTAGTTTTCCAGTTTACTTCATATCGATGCAAATGTAAGCTAAGACTGTTTTTTTTTTTTGTAATCTTCCCAAAAATGTAGATATCTGCCACATAGAGAAGATATGAGTATTTCATTCTGTGACCACTTGTTAAGGGAACCATTCATACATCTTTGAGCATTTGCTCTATTGCCACACTTATTCAAATCAACAGATCATTGATTTTATAGCCCATGAATGAATGTGTAAAATATGTACTGAATGTTCAGTCTCATATGAGCAAGCTGCTGCTCCGACTAATATTTTTACTGTCTTTATTGCTTTACTGAGCAGGGATCACTTTTTTAAGTATGTTTGCCTGCTCGTAGAATTTTTAAATGTAATAAGAAGGACGATAGGATGCCAAATTGTCTCCAAGATATAATTATAACGAGAGATATATCTTCATAATGTGTGATCAGACTCATTCCCTCATCTCATATAAAGCATTTCCTTTGCTCTAAGAGCATATCTGGGGTTCTGCATATATACATTAATAATAAGCCACCAAAGTAAGTTTTTTTCTTAAACAGCTGATATGTATTTAAACAAAGAGCAAAGACTGTTTTCAGGGACAGAACAGGGAACGAACAACACTTTTAAATTTCATATAGGTCAAATTTTTGTTAATTTATTCATCGAAGGATAATCACCACTTCTCCCTTTTATTCTATTGTGAGTTTACAGGTCTAAACTAATCCATTATATCTTGATTTGAGAGTTCTCTCATCCTTTAGCCCCGATGAATGACAATAAACTGAGGCAAAATTAACAAATGATAGCTCAAGTATTTAAATACACCACTTTCAGGTGTATATCAGAAAAAGTAACAAAATCTGTAGAGAAATTTGAAGGGGTTTGCTTCTGTCGACATATAACTGATATCTTTGGAATGTACAATCTTTTAAACAAAAATGAAAAAAAAATAGATCTATCTATCTATCTATCTATCTATCTATCTATCTATCTATCTATCCATCTATCCATCTATCCATCTATCCATCTATCCATCCATCCATCCATTCATCCATCCATCCATCCATCCATCGAAATACGGAATATATGGGAATGTCTGGCCACTATGCTGTTTAAGAGAGAGAAGGGTTCTCTGTCATAAGAATGAAAGTGTTTTGGTAAGCAAATTTGCATATCACAACTAAAAAAAGCAAATGACTGTGAATTCTAACTGAAGCTGGTTAGAGTGCAATATTCACACTTAACCAAGACATGTGCCAGCATGAGCTGAAACGGTACTTAATAAAAACAAACAGAAAGGCCAGCTTAATAAAATGCACCCACCCCAAATTTTTTTTATACGTGCCCTGCGTTCTGATAAAACTGACCATAGTTACCATCTTTACATTTGGAGGAAAGAGAAAGGTCCTTAAATGCCTGAAAACACCATTATCATCATAATAGGGGTGTTAAACTGCAATGGGGATGTGCACATCTAGAAGAAAGAAAATTCTCAAGAGAAAATGAGACGCAACATCTAAAGACAACAAGCAGAAAGTTAAAGTTGTTTTATAAAAGGGTCTTCTAAACAGATGAACACAATTACTATATTGCTAAATTAGTGATAACACTGTTTCAAATGAAGTAAAATCAGGGTTTTAGATTAGCCCTGATCTCAATGATATCAAAATTACGTGGGTGGAGCAAATAAGGTGTACAACATCAGCTGTGCTATAAAGTTTGAACTAAAACTTCAACCAATCAATCAGAACACAGAAGACATCTGAATTACATGGTGCAGTCCTTAAAAGTATTTGTACGAGGTACTAATGTATATAAAGACAGTTTTTGCTTTGAACTCAATTTATATCTTTTTTTTTTCCAACAAAAAGAAAAAACATAAAACAAACATGTAATTATCAATCTTTATGAGTATAAAAAAAATAAAGTTTTTTTAGTCAGATAAAGTCCGAGAGTAAGGGAAAAACATTTTTGGACATTCTATGATACGTGGTATCAATCTGCAAAAAATCAAATTAATACAACTTAAGAGTTGTTATTTCTTTTTTAAAGAAACCTACTTGATAGTGGTATCCTTCACAGCTTTCACAGTGCCAACAGCAGGGCACTCCCTTCACAACCTTCTTCCTTTGGCCCATACGACATGGCAAACTGCACACGGAGGCTGGCAGGGACGGGTCACGCGTCTTCCAACGCATTGCCTCCATCTGAGAAAGGCACATATGTATCATTAATTAGCTCTGTAAACAAATGGACAATTTAACCTCTTACCAATCTTGTCAGTGAAAATAATGAAGCATGGAATTTGACATAGCTCTCATTACAGTGTGTTAACTGTGCTTTAACCTTGTGCATACCTGCAGCTACTGTATCTGGAGGCGATCTGGGAGAGAATTAGTACAAGCAGACCCTCTGATTGCTTTTGAGAGAGCTCCCAGGCACATAACACCAGCTTTTCTAGAAGCCAGCAATCATACCATAATCAGAACTGGCAGAAAATAAGCCATCTGTATTTCCCCCTTTTGTTTGTGTGTATGTGTCTGTGTGTGCATATGCTCATCCATGTGTGCATTGCATTTGTTTGTGTTTGTGTCAAACTGGCATTACAGTGAATCCCTGAGCTTTCTATCTGTCTGGTTTGTCTATGCCTTCATGTGCTCGTTCTCTAATTTGTTTTTTATGCATGCAAGAGTTTGAGGAAAAAGTCTATTTGCAAAATGAATTTCAGAAAACTATCGATTGTCATAAGTATGGGTAAGATGAATGAATATAAGTAATAAAAAAAAGGGCATCAAATGTAATCAGTGGAATCCCTGAATTCTGGGGGGTTAGGGTTTGATTTCTTTGATTTCTCCACTTTGAATCCCACTTCAGGGGACAGTTCATTCTCCCTGGCTCTTTCAAAAACAAGAGACTGTAGCATTGCATGCCTGAGCATAGCAACAGGTGCTCATTTACTTTTTGTTTTGTCGATCATGTATCAGTACGGAAGCATTTGGTCTCTATTAGTCTCATCATCTGCCATTTGGGTTTCTCTAATGAAGCCCTGCGTGGATTAATAACACAAAACTCCAGCATCCTTAAGCACATTAAATGTATTCTTAATCTGATATATATGCATCATGGTCACAGAGTGACAGAGTCACTGTGTGAAGTTTAGCTTTTAGATTATCTCATAAAAGGCTATTTTTTCCTATAAAAGTAAAAACAACGTTATCCTCATGACAAAGCAAAACAGACAGACCCATGGCATACTTCTAAGAAGCTTTAAAGGTCATTTTAGGAATGCTTTACTAAGATCAGAGGTGGGTTGAGTGCCCGTAAAATGTACTCAAGTAAGAATAGCACTTCTTTATCATTTTCTTATTCAAAGAACTGACTTCTCCAGTGCTTTCAACACCATGAAAGGAAGCTAGAGGACACTGGAGTGGACAAACATATTGCTGCCTGGACATCAACAACCTCAATGACCGCCCTCAGTACATGTGGCTGCATGGCTGTCAAGTCAGAGGTGGCAGCATGCAGCACCGGGACCCCCCATGGCACCGTTCTATCTCAATTTCTCTTAACCACTATACTCGCACTTCACCTACAAGAGGGACAACTGCCACCTCCAGAAATCCTCAGATGACTCGGCCATTGTGGGCTGTGTTTCTGAGGGGAATGAACTGCTGTACTGGTCGGTCATCATGGACTGGTATGAGAACAAGCACATGTGTTTAAACACCAGTAAGACAAGGAGATGGTGATCAACTTCAGGAGAAGACCCTAACCTCACAATCCCATGAACATCCATGTGCGGGGCATAGAAACTGTGGAGAATTTCGAATAGATGGGGGTTCCTCTCAACGATAAACTGGAATGGACTCATAACACCAAAGCCCTGTACAGGAATGGCCAGAGCTCACTCTACCTCCAGAGGAGAATGAGGTCCTTTGGAGTGAGCTGGCCCCTGCTTAAAACCTTCTATGACTCTGTTGTGGCATCGGCCCTCCTCTATACTGCCAGGCCCCTGGCAGTGCAGAGCAGGACAGAAAGAGACTGAATAAGTTAATGAGGATGCCACTTCTATCCCGGCTGCGCTCTGGACTCTATGAAGGAAGTGGCCGAGAGGAGGTCCAAGCCTTATGTCGCCTTATGTCTCTCCTTTATTTTTTAACATCCACTGTATCTATCTGGATACACTGTATAAACTTCATGCACCTTTTCCTCCATTGTGCACCTCCAGTTTGTTTATATGAGCCTATGTCACAATTGGATTTCTCCATTGTGAGATCAATAAGTTCTATTCATTTATTCATTAATTCAAGTAATATAAAAAAGTATTCGGTAAAGAGGCTGCTGGAGTACTGAGTAACTGTTGGATAATAACATCAGTTATAATGTTTATTAATAATACAGGTGCTGGTCATAAAATTAGAATATCATGAAAAAGTAGATTGATTTCAGTAATTCCATTTAAAAAGTGAAACTTGTATATTATATTCATACATTACATACAAACTCATATATTTCAGATGTTTATTTTGTTTAATTTTGATGATTACAAATGACAACAAATGAAAATCTCAAATTCATCATATCAGAAAATTAGAATATTACTGAAGACCAATAAAAACAAAGGATTTATAGAAATGTTGGCCAACTGAAAAGTATGAACATGAAAAGTATGAGCATGTACAGCACTCAGTATTTAGTTGGGCCTCCTTTGGCCTGTATTACTGCAGCAATGCGGCATGGCATGGAGTCGATCAGTCTGTGGCACTGCTCAGGTGTTATGATAGCCCAGGTTGCTCTAATAGTGGCTTTTAGCTCTTCTGAATTGTTGGGTCTGGTGTATTGCATCTTCTTCTTCACAATACCCCATAGATTTTCTATGGGGTTAAGGTCAGGAGAGTTTGCTGGCCAATTAAGAACAGGGATACCATGGTCCTTCAACCAGGTACTGGTAGCTTTGGCACAGTGTGCAGGTGCCAAGTCCTGTTGGAAAATGAAATCTGCATCTCCAAAAAGTTGGTCAGCTGCAGGAAGCATGAAGTGCTCTAAAACTTCCTGGTATGTGGCTGCGTTGACCCTGGACCTCAGAAAACACAATGGACCAACACCAGCAGATGACATGGCACCCCAAACCATCACTGACTGTGGAAACTTTACACTGGACTTCAAGCAACGTGGATGAAGTGCCTCTCTTCTTTTCCTCCAGACTCTGGGACCTTGATTTCCAAAGGAAATGCAAAATATACTTTCATCAGAGAACATGACTTTGGACCACTCACCAGCAGTCCAGTCCTGTTTCTCTTTAGCCCAGGCAAGACGCTTCTGACGCTGTCTGTGGTTCAAGAGTGGCTTGACACAAGGAATGCGACAGCAGAAACCCATGTCTTTCATACGTCTGTGTGTGGTGGTTCTTGAAGCACTCACTCCAGCTGCAGTCCACTCTTTGTGAATCTCCCCCACATTTTTGAATGGGTTTTGTTTCACAATCCTCTCCAGGGTGCGGTTATCTCTCTTGATTGTACACTTTTTTCGACCACATCTTTTCCTTCCCTTCGCCTCTCTATTAATGTGCTTGGACACTGAGCTCTGTGAACAGCCAGCCTCTTTAGCGATGACCTTTTGTGTCTTGCCCTCCTTGTGCAAGGTGTCGATGGTCGTCTTTTGGACAACTGTCAAGTCAGCAGTCTTCCCCATGATTGTGTAGCCTATAGAACTAGACTGAAAGACCATTTAAAGGCTTTTGCAGGTGGTTTGAGTTAATTAGCTGATTAGAGTGTGGCACCAGGGGCCATCAATTTTGAACCTTTTCACAATATTCTAATTTTCTGATATGATGAATTTGAGATTTTCATTTGTTGTCATTTGTAATCATCAAAATTAAACAAAATAAACATCTGAAATATATATGTTTGTATGTAATGTATGAATATAATATACAAGTTTCACTTTTTAAATGGAATTACTGAAATCAATCTACTTTTTCATGATATTCTAATTTTATGACCAGCACCTGTACTAGCAAACAGACTTTATGTTCAAGTTCTTGCATTTTAAAAACTCAAATGCCTGAAGAATACAAATAAATGTCATGGATATAAAAGAACAAATCCATGCATAATAAGTACATTTACCTTTTTTTAACATTAAACTTAGAAAACCAATCCTTACAATGAGACCTGTATATATGTAAGGACATGATAATGAACGTCCATAGGCAATATCTACTGTTTACTGTGTGTTTAATTGATTTTAAATTAGTTAAAATCACTTAAAGCAGATTTTAATGTAGCAGTAACAAAGCAGGGTTGTAAAACTTAAACCCAGAGAAAATGGAGGCACACCAGTACTGCCTTGTGTAACCAGGGTGACTTTAAATGTTGCCACCAAGATGAGTCAGAGAAAAAATATATCAACATTGAAAATGTGCCAGCTTGGTTTGTATGAGCTCTAAAAATAATAATAAAAAGTTTTAACAGGGCACAAAGCAGATGGATTTTTTTCACAGACGTCAAAGGTGATCCAGTTTAGCTGTGAATTCAGAAAGTGTGAAGATTCAGTGTGAAACATCTTTGCAAGTTTAAGCCATATTTATTTTATGGACTCCTTAAAAAAATAAAATAAAAAATCCATCACTCAGTGCTTGTGTATTGATGCGCAGGGTGTCATCTGTCGCTGGCTGAACTACTGCTGGGAGAAACTACAGCCCCGTCTAGACCCTGTGATTGATGGACTGCTGGATGGTTACTGTTTCAATGGCTCAATGGAAACCTTAACTTACATATATTGACTTTAAATTGATAAAGCTCTATATACGGAAATGAAAACAAGACTTTTGAGAGAAAAACTTGGATAAATTATCTTAAAATGCATGTTTGACTGAGAACCAATCTGAGTGACATTTATGGTAAATGGTAAAATGGCCTGTCCTTATAAAGCACTTTTTCACACCTCACACTGAGGTGAAGTGTCTTGCCCAAGGACACAACGACACTGAAAGCGGGAGCTTGGTCTCGAACAGACAATCCTCCGATTGCAGGGCAAACTCCTCCTCACAACACCACTGTCGCCTCCCATTTACATTAACAGGCATTCAGAGCATACTGTGAACGTCTCCACATTGTGCTCATATATATATACTGCACTTTAAGCTAGTGTTAAAGCCTGTTTATATGGTATAAATAATATCCATACTTTTGTATCCATTAAACTTGTTATGAAAATTAGTACATGAAAAAAACGTTTATTGTTATATTTTACACTGATTTGCAAAAAGGAAAATAAAATGGCTTATGCTGCGCAAGTATATGGTGTTAAACAAAACTGAATTTTGTCCGATGATATCAAGAAAAACTGACCATTTTAATTACCCTTACTTAATATTTAGGGCTTTCATGTTTCTTTTATTTCTGTAAGTTGATCTGACTGGGATCTTGTGGTCTGTCAGGAACAGAGTGATAAAATGCTTGTAGATTTTTGAGAAAAAAAACTCACCCTCAGATGTAATTTGTTGGTCCAGGAGCCAATGACTCTGTACTCAGCTGTGGATCTGTTTGTAATCTGGTACTGGAAAATGTCATATCTTCCTGGAGCATCTCCATTCTCGTTGAACATTACTGGTGTACCGGCACTTCCTGGAATAAGTAGAAAATAAAAAGGCTTAAAATTCAATAAAATGGTTCATATATGTTATTACATGGGCCCTTTTCCCCCAAAGGAAAACAAATCTAAAGAATAGAAAACAAAATCAGGATCCAAAATTCATTATTAGGTTATTTACTGAAAACAAACAGGAACCTTGAATACAGAACAAAAGGATATTTCTTATCTTTTGTATCTAAACTTTTTTTTTTAAGTCTGTGATGGGTAGCAACTTTCTAGGATGAATGAGGACTTAAATCAAACAACCTAACTAATCTTTAAAACAGTGTAAATCCATTTGATTACAAAAACTATGGGTTTCATTTAAGTTGCGAATTTTCATTTGAAATGAAATTAAGCACCATCCCACCTTTGATTGCTGAAATATTGTTAGCAATCCCCCCCACACACGCACACACCCACACACACAAATACTGTGCTGATGTAATCAAAAAAATATCTAAAGCACTTAGTTGAAATGTCTAACTACCAGGATCTGTATAATGCTCTCACACTCTCATCCTGATGATGTTTTCCTCTGCTCCTACACTGTTTTACTAGTAAGCAGCAAGGTATTAAAAATATCGAGTACAATCTTTTATTTACGGGTGGATCATCTAAATAAGTGGTCCTCCTAATTGTGAATCATTTTGGTGATATGTTTACATGGGTCAGCCCTATGTGCTCATCCCCAGTTAGCTATTTTTTTCTGTATTTTTTCACTTTCAGGCATTTATATGTGGTGAGCTATGGTTTCAGCCAGTCATTGAAGGTCACCGTTCTCACTGCGGTTCTTTGAAAATGGCTAAGGATTGTAAGAGAAAAAGTGTCTACGAAGTGTATGAGAAGGATAGAAAAGCCTCAGAGGAGGCAGATATATCCCAGAATGCTTTGCGCAAAGTACTCACAAAGATTTATGGGATTTGCTGTCACAGCGGCCCACGACTAACAACAAATATGGCGCCAGCACCGTGCAGTGGAGGAGGAGTTATGTGACCAACGGGAAGCTAAAGGTAGTGATCATATGTCCAAATGATCAGTTAACTGAGTTCACTATTGAGTCCACTATATAGTCCCCCCCTCTATACAGTGTTTGAGGGTTTTAGGGGTTAGGGCAGATGTTGGGACATAGTAAGCTTGCATTAGCTATTAGAACAGCAACTTTTAAACAGAGCGTGCACAAGGAGAAATAGGCTTGTGCATGCTCTTGCACGCATTTAATAGGCGTTCCCTCTCTGGAGCAGGTACAGGGTTGTGCATGTGCATTGCTTTTAAAGTGGAGAGGACGGGTCTTTTCAAAAATTAGCAAAAGCCCTCCACATACCTTTAAGTGCCTCACTTAAGTCCATTAAAGTACATTAAACTTTTAACATCAACATGCATATATATGAAGATTACATTTTAGAGACCACTTTGCATTAAAGGGTTAATAATAACTTTAGTATTTACATTTCTTTGCTGAAACAGCTTGTGAATTTCTTTTGAAATACTGGTACTTGCTTACCCATGATAATGTTTTATTGAACAAAATAGCTTACAGCACCTCCACAGGATGCGCAAACTGTGCAGCTAACCCAAGAGTTGTCTATACAGATTTCTTGAAGTTATATTTCCTCAGACAGCATGTTTATGAGCTATGACAGCAAAGGCATAATAACTTCTAGTTCTCGCCCTGAGATGTGTTGTACCTGTATGTGTTCTGCAGATTGGATGTGTGCACGCATCGGTAAGTTTAGATTTCCTTTCAGATTTGGTTTTCTCACCTCCAATAAATCTTAACACAAACCTTTATAATCCTCTTTCTGTCCTGCTCACCGCTTTTCTCTCTTTAGAGTGGCGTACAATCACATTTTATTGGATGGTGAAAAGAATAAAATAAATTAGATTCCTGAGTAGAAAATATACCATTATGGAAATTTTACTTATCAACAGGAAGTCATGTATAACTCATGTTCAGTTTAAATGTAAAAAGTGTGAAACAAGAACGTGATCGAACTGAAAGACTGAAATAGTGTCACAGAAAATGGAAACAAAGCCAAAATGAAAGGAAATAAATCTATTCAAAAAGGGATAATGCAGGAAAAAAGACATGAGATATGAGCTGAAAAAAAGGTGGTGAGAGAAAAAACACAATTACAAGGCAGAAGGCAAAGTGGACGTAAATGAAGAAAATAATAAACATGGGAAGGGCTCTCCATTTCAGAAGAAATTATGAAAGATATGCTAATAAGCTGGAAAGATAATGAAACTTATTGAGAGGGCGTAATCGATAGTGAGACAAAAGCAGACGTTTCAAGCTTTGGAGGATGCCATACATTATAAATAAGTGCCGTCGCTGAAAGAGGTAATGCCTAACTGCAGTCTCTTATCCCTCCTTCTTTAATTTCCTGCCTTAGACATTTTTTTAAACTTCTGATTAAGGATCAATGTTTTTATTCCTTGGGCGCTGCCTTAGCATGAACAATACATGACACTGAAGATGAATTGCAGCATCTTTTAAGTTAAACTATAGTCCCTCTGAAAACTTATTCCAGAAAAAAACAGCCATCTCCTACATTATTTATTTATATTTATTGTGTGCAGATAGTAGTATTGTAAGGGAGTGCTAATTTATCAGATATATCATCTGTAAAAGAAATTCAGCAAAAAAAAGAATGTTTATGAAAGAATGCTGTGGTTTACATGATTTTTTTCTATTTTACTGTTCAACAGCATCCTAAAGATCCTGCAATGTGTTAGATTATCTCAGAGGTCCCTAGATTACTGTGCACGTACAGTACAGCCACACTCATATAATCAATTAGTATGTAAAACCTACTACATTATCTACTAGAAGTCACCATTAAATAACAGTACACTGTGGACCATTAATCCAAGCCAGATGGATCCATGCTTTTAAAGTTATGCCAAATCTTAACCCTACCATTCAAATTTTTAATTGTAGCCTAAGCTCCATATTCCCTGGCTAACAGGAGGAGAACTAGGAGAAGGAAATAAATCTATCAGTCTGATTTATTGATTAGTCCAAAACCAGTTAATAGTGCCAAATATTTGGAACATTTAACCCTTAGTTCCTGTATCTAAATTGTAAAGCAACAAAACAATTTCAGTTTGTAATTTTTTATCATCCACCAGGTCCTTACTCTCTACTATCAGATTTATTGTTAAATACTTGAGCTTTATTATACAGTAGTGGGCGATTTTTATATTTCTGCCGACATTGAAGGTGGTACCTTAAATGCAGCCTTTAATGCCATCTTTGTCTCGATTGGTTTTATTCAAAATATGCGTAGTCCAACACATCTTTATACTTCGGACCTTGTGCTGATATAATGTAAGGCATTGATTGTGGAGAAAAAATAGCATTTCCTTAGAAACCCTCTCCAATATGACTACTTTTTAGTAACCTGCAAACTCATTTTTTTTTCTAAGTTCTCTGTCCCCAAATGAAGGTTTCATTTCAGCAGATCGCTGTCAGATACTCCAATAATATTTCTTTTTCCTTTCTGGGTATATCTCTGGGAATCTATGTCCCAGAGCTAGATACTAGCGCAACAGCTTTGCTTTCACAAGCAGACCATTTTGACTGTTGCCCTAAGCAGTGTTGTGCATGAACGCATTCAATGAATGAAGAAGAAGAAAAGAAGAAGAAAGTTTTGAAGAAATGAACATGAACGAGGTTTACATTCTAAACGGCATACACACTCACGTTCGCGTTCAGTTGATAACACTTTTCGTAGGATAACGTCAGGTTTTACGGCACTATTACAGCAAACAGCATGACAAACCAGCTTGTCTACTGCTAGTACTAGTCTGCGCAATTCACTCATCTACTGATATTTCTGATGCCAGTTTTGCAGAGCGCTTGGTAGAGTTTTATGAACTAACAAAGAAAGTCTGGGACAGAAAAAAAAATTATTTTTTTTCAAAACTGTACCCACCAGGACTTAAATGATACAAAGCATCTGAGGGACACACAAAGACACACAACCAAGCACACACACATTTACACCAAAGGAGAATTTAGAGAAACCAATTAACCTAACAGTCTTTTATTTGGACTGTCGGAGGAAGCCAGATTACCCAGAGAGAACCCATGCATGCTCAGGTAGAACATGCAAACTCCATGCAGAAAGACCTGGACCAGGAATCGAACCTAGAACCTTCTAGCTGCAAGGCAACAGTGCTACACACCGTGCCACAGTGCGAACTTAGTTCATTTAAATCTGTGTGAACTGAACTATGAGCTTGTTCTTTGTAATTATGAGCTGGCACAACATTGAAAATAAGGTTCTGCTTGGTACTTGTACATGAAACTTTATTGAAAGTTATTTAGGGGGTAAAATCATTGACAACGGACACGGCTACAGAAAGTGAGGTAAGAAAGAAAGAAGGGATAAGAACTAAGGGCAGAGATAAATAGATAGACTGGAATGGGTGCCTGAAGAGTGAGAAAATAAAACTAAACAGCAAAAAATAGACATCACAGAAGACATACAGTTAGTCCTAGAAGTCTGCTTCCACACCTGTATGAGATGAGAGGAACAGAAAACAGACAACACACAGCAAAAGGAAGAAAACACACAAACACATCACAAAAAATGCCTCAAGAGCATCAGGTATCCCTTAAAAATCCTTGTGTATGTGTAAGGCAAAACCTATGGTGATTACACAATATTATCCATGGCGGTATACATCTGTTGCTGCAGTTTAGCATTCAGTATTAGTGTGCATCTTTGAGCGCCTGGAACCAAATTCCGGTGGTATGCATGCATTGGCATGCTCCTGTAAAAAGGATTTACAAAACTTACTTAGAAAGCCTTATTATTCCAATAACCACAGGTGGGGATGAGCATCAGGAGCAAAGCCAGAATGGATGACCCATCTCCAGTACCCCGATTATGCACACCCTGATTCCCTACACATGTATGTCTTGAAAATTGTATAAATAATGTTGACTCAGGGCTCCCCCAGCCTGGGAGGACCAAACCTG